GAGAGCACACAGAAATATCCTTAAATCAAATGTTTGTCACAGTGAAAACACACAAACATATATCCTTAAATAAAAAGTCTTTCACTGTAAGATAGCCAGCTGAACAAGTATCATTAATTAAAATTATCAATCTCATCCCATAGAATCCTTAGAATTTATTATAAAAGTGTCTTGAAATCAAATTATTGAACAGTACAATATCTAACAAGTACCGGAAATCAAATTATATATCGTTAAATGCCTTTCTGCTTACATATTTTTTCAGATGCTTCTGGAATGGATCAATGATGTGTTGGCAGATGACAGAATTATTGTCAAAGATATTGAGGAAGATCTCTTTGATGGACAGATTCTGCAAAAGTTAATTGGTTTGTAATCAGATATTGAAGCTACATAAATATTTTATCACATAATATGTGTATTTATTTAATGCTAAAGAACTTTCCATTTATTATCATATTACAAGTAGTTTATGTGTTTTTTTTGTTTTTGCTGAAGATCACATTCTGTATGAAACACTGTTTTTTCAAACTATTTTATGCAATGTGATTCAGATGATGTTACTTCGTTTTAGGTAATCTGCATTTTACATTACATATTTTGAATGTTGTAAAAAGATAATCAGCTGGAAATTTACCAGTATCAATATACCCAACTGAAAGTTCACACCTGTGTGTCACTTGTCACACCTGGACAGGCCATGTACATTCTTCATAATCAACCATTACCAGTATGTACTTTCATAAATACAATTGAAAAGGGGAGATAAATCTGTTTTTTCCTGCTCACAGAGAAGCTGGCTGGGATCAGGGTAAAGGTGCCGGAGGTGACCCAGTCAGAGCAGGCCCAGAAACAGAAGCTCTGGATTGTACTGGATGTCATCAATGAGAAATTACAGCTGCCTCCTGCCTGGAGTCAATCCAAGTGGAGCATAGACAGTGAGTGAAACATGGACACTTAACACAGATACAAAAAAACACTTAAAACATACACTGTGAGTTAAACATGGACACTTAACACAGATACAAAAAAACACTTAAAACATAGACGGTGAGTTAAATAATAATAGGACACTGTAGAGAAATTTGGTGTTCAGAGTCCCACACTGTCTCTACATTGAATTAGAGAACAACATTTAGCTCTCAAAACCAGTAAGAATGTGGAGGAAACTCTCTCACATTTGTTCTGTATGAAGTCAGGATGTAAAGAGACCATGCCAAGAAGTCAAAGCAATGTTATCATGTAGCTCAACGAGATCTCTTGCTGGTGCAGTCAACTGTCCAAGGGAGATAACTCTCCCAAAATTCACCACAACACTTAACACAGATACAAAAACCATTTAAAACATAGACAGTAAGTTAAACATGGACATTTAGCTTCCATGTAATATTATTTTGTTATCGTCAAAGTTAGATATACTGTAAGGCTTGTGCATTGAAATTGTTGTCTGTGTTCTTGTTAAAGATGGTTCAATAAGAAAAGCAAAAGTCTGGTTTGTGAAAATGTATTTTCACACAATCTTATCTAATTTCTACACTCGTTGCGGTACATACTCCTTTTTGTTGTCCTATTGAAGAGAGTTATCAAAGTGATTTTATTTTCCAGGTATTCACTCGAAGAACTTAGTAGCTATTTTGCATCTGTTGGTGAGCCTAGCTCGTCACTTCAGGGCACCAATCCGACTACCTGAAAATGTCTGTATCACACTGATGGTTGTACAGGTGAGTAGCTAACAGGTTAAACATGCCAGTCCAGTCCTTTGTGTTTGGATGAAACATTTTAGTTATCTCGGATCATACTATAATGACTTGCTGAAGAATGCAAATGATTTTATTTTTTTATAATAAAGGTGTTCAAGGTGGCAGCCAATAAGACCGTTTGTTAAGGCAAGACGACGCCTGAACATTTTCTTGAATGGAATGGCAACAGTAATTAGGAAAATATAGGTGTACCTCTTTTTTCCAAGAAATTTGCTCACTACAGAGACTTGCTCCCCATACAAGTGTTTGTGTTTTCATGATAAA